AATACCCATTAAAGTTTGAGACACACAAACAATCCCCTTCTGGGCCAAGTCAGAAATTTCCCCCCTGAGCTCTGAAAGACTGGAGGCCTGGAAGCCGGGCAGCCTCCGCTCCCCCGCAATACCCCACCCCCAACAACCTGCCACTGCCCCATCCCCCACTGCCCGCCCAGGCCTCTAGGCCTGACAGGGGCCTCGGACCTCAGAGCAGGTTTTGAAGGATGAATAGGAGTTCGCCGGGGCGATGTGGGAGAAGAGCACACTGGGAAGAGAACTGTGAGTTGGCAAGGGACTGGGGGTGTGGGGCAAGGCTGGTGGAAGGTGTGAGGCAGGGGTGGAGGGGGAGGGGCGCTGAGGTAGGCAGGAGCCAGGTGGCAGTCAGTCAGAGTGGGTCACGGCCTGGGAGACCCTGGCTCAAGCCCACTGCTTGCTGTGTGGCCTTGGGCAAGTCACTTACCCTCTCTGGGGCTGTGTTTGCTCATCTGTAAACAGGGATGATGAGCCCTGCCGAGCTTGGTTCTCAGGGTGGGGGCTCCAAGAGTCCGTGGAAACACTGGTGGGGCTGTCTGAAGCCTAAGTGTGGGCCGTGGTCCTGAGGAACCCTCCTGGTCTCTGCGCCTCTTAGAGGGAGGGGGATAGCGGGTGAGAGGGAAGGAGCCCAGGCCCTCTGCGGGGTCGAGGCAGGGACACTGGGGTGGGGCTGGGCCGGGAGGGGTGGGCACCTCAGCAGATCCTCACACGCACTTCGAGGTCAGGCCTGCTTATTTACAGATGGGGAAACTGAGGCTGAGAGTGGCCTGGGTCAGGCAGGTCGTGAGGGGCTGAGCTCGGATTCAAAGCCAGGTGGGTGAGTCTTCCTGAGCTGCTGTGTGTTCCCTGGACCCACGACAGCAATGACAAGGATGATCGCAATAATGACAACAATGTCACACCTCAATGCCCCCCGGCTGCGCCGTCCTGACGCCAGCAGCACAGCACAGAGCAGGAGCCTCGAGGGCCGGGCAGCTCTCCCGGCTGCCCCCTGTGGCCTGCCAGGTGTGTACCGGCCCTGAAGACGCCCGCGTGGTCAGTGTGGGTGGCCCAGGCCCAGACCCTGCGCGGACACTCCTGCTGCATCTGCCGGGCGGGATCTGCTGAGCACCTACCGTGTGCCGGGCCTGAACACGTGAGACCTGGAGCCCGCCGCGCCTGAGGCTCTGGCCGGGGACACCTGGCCCCCATAGTGCAATAAACAAATAAGGGCTGCGATCCTCGGCGGTGGCACGAATCCTGGTATCGCGGTCAGGGCCGGGAGGGCGGGGCTGAGCCCGGGCCTGGGCCTGGCAGGGCTGAATGCAGGCGGAGTGTGTGTGTGTGGGGAGCACGGCCCCCCAGGTGCCCGTGGGGTCAGGGGCCCCACCCTAGCTGCTTCCTGACCACTTTCGGAAGGAAATGAGCCAGGGGAGCCTGGGGGTGCCCCAGAGGAGACGGGGTCTGGAGAATCTGAGTTCGTTATCTGCTAACTGGAGGAAAAGCCCAGCTTCCCCACGACACTACAGGAAGGCAGCTGTGCCTGTCCCCATCACATCCCTCCCGGACGCCCTGTGGCTCGTAACTCGGTTACGGTGGATCTGCCGGGGCGGGAGGGCCGCAGTGTCCCATCTGCATGGAGATGTGATTCCAGGCACCCGGCGGAAGCCTGGCCAGCAGCAGGGAAATCGCGTTTCTGGCGATGGAGATTGATGGGGTGTGTGTCCGCGGGGACCCAGAGGCAGGGACCGTGCAGGGATGCGCCACTGCCGCCGGCACCGTCAATATTGCCCCTGAGCTTCTGCCCAGGCCCAGGGTTTCTGACAGGGGAGGCTGTGCTGGCCCCAGCTGGGGGAGCCAAGGGCCACGAGGCCAGATCTGGAGGGCACCCAGTGCACCCCTCTGCCTCCCTGGCTCTGGCATCTGCTCCCGCCACAGGGCACCCCAGGGTGGGGAGCATGGACCTATCACAGCCCCTGCAGCAGCCAGAGGCAGGAGCATCCTGGGGTCTCCCTGCGTCTCCCGAGCTGTTGCACCCCTGCCTGCCCTGTCCTGTTGGTGACTTGGAGTCACCAGTCTTGGACTCCAGTCTCCCTGGAGTGGTCCTTGACCCGCTGCTCGGCTTCCACTATGACTGATAGGGAGCGTCCAGGAACAAAGGTGACGAGTGTGTGTCTGCAGCTCCTCCTTCCCCGGCCCCTCCTGTCTGCTGGGGGCTCTGGTGTGGACGAGACTGGGAAGGGGTCTCGAGGAGCTGAAACGCTGGAACCGTCCACAGGATGACGAGTGGGACGGGAGGTCGGGGAGGGGAGGGAGAAGCCGCGAGGCTGGGCTCAGAAGACAGTTCTGGAGATGAAAGCAGAAAGCGGGAGAGAAAGACGTTTCAGGAACAGCTACGGTCAGTGGAGGCCTGAGGGGGTGAGAGGAAGAGAAGCCTTCGAGTTGTGATGGGATTAATGGACCCCGCCGGCCCCACACACCTTGCTGGGACACCCCCAGCGGGACCGCGTGAGGCTGGGAAGCCCTTGCAGCGTCTGGTTGTCGGCGATGTTTGTTCACGGTGACACCACGCGGAGGTTGTGCCACGTGGGGCCAGGGACCTAGTCGGGTTACACACAGACACCCAGACAGCCGTGGTTCCCATCCCTGCCTGCGACGCTGGGGACGTCTGTGTCACAGAGCTCCTTCCGCAGAGGGCCCTGGAGTGGCAGGAGGGTGCCCCCAGCTCTCCGAATCAAATCCCCTCTCCCCTTGGTTCCTCAACTGGCGGAACGGAAGCCTTCAAAACCCCTCGCCCGAAGTCACACCGCATGGCGAAGGGCAAGATGGGAGTGGGAAGGTGCCCACGGATGCAGCCAGCGGCCGGGGACCCCCTCGTTCTGCGTCACCTGCATGTGGGTTTCAGATGATGCTGTCTGAGCGTGCGCGCAGGGTCTCGGGCACGCCTGCCTGCACCTGCACACGGGGGATTCGGGGAGGGCACGGGGGGCTCAGAGCACCGGAGTGGACTTGGAGCTCAGCCTCTCGCTCAGGCTCTGCGCACACCGCACAGGCTGGGCAGGCTCTTCCCCACGCCACAGCGGGCAGCCTTGAACTCTGTGTCCCAGGAGCACGGCGCAGGCCTGGCACACAGCAGGCGCACAATGTGCGCTTGTTGGTGAAAAGCAATGTGGAGCGGCGGGGGTAGGGGTGGAAACTCAGCAGGCGCAGTGACGCAGGGGCGGAGCGCCCAGGGGCCCCTCGGCACAGGCAAGCAGCCCCCGGGTGCCGAGCGCAGGAGGCTCACGGCGCCCACCCTCCTCTCCCCGCGCACAGGGCAGTGGGAGCTACTCCGCATGCACAAAAGCTGCGGAGGACCAGCGTTTAAACGGTAGCTCCGCAGCTGTCCAAAAACTTGGTTGATCGTAGGGACATTGCCCAGTGCTTCTCACACGGCAGTGCATCCCCTCGGGGACTCTCGGTCAGTAGCTCTGGATCCTCAACTGGACACCCCCCCACCCCGGTGTGTCTGCTGCAAGAATCCACATTCCGGAACACCCCACTGTGGGGGCCAGATGCTTCTCTGTCTGCAGCTCCCTGTGGGCTTGCGGCCCACCTCCCCGCTCCTCAGGGTGCGACTGGTTCTCTTCTCCACCCGTCCCCTCGCATCACCAGCAGCCTGGCACAGGGCCCCCGCCAAAGGACCCACTCGGTCAGCATTTGTCAAACCGAGCTGAGCGGGCTGTGCCTTTGTCTCCTGCATAATGGATGGCGCAGTTATTCGATCAATAAGCACAAGCTGATTTACATGTATCTTATTAATTATTTAAGTCATTCATTATTGAAAAGTCACTACCTGTTAGCTATTTAAATGATCATTAACTCTCTTGAGAAGCAGCAGCAAGAGTTAACTGAGCACCTACTATGTGCCAAGTGTTTATTTCTCAGGACAACCCGGGGGGTAGGGACATCTTTACCCTTGACCCCTCACAAGGATCGGAAGGTTAAGCAGTGCAGTTATGTCCCCCAGGCCAGGGAGCTGGTAAACGGCAGAGCCGGGACCCAAACCTGGGTCACATGGGCTTGAACCCCGGGGTCACTGTGCACCCCGCTAGCAGGAGGGCTCTGGGATAGATCTTGCAGCCTGGGCTCAGCCCCACAGTGTCCTGGGATGATGCGCCTGACCCCATGTTCCCCCGGCTGCAGCTCAGTCCCCACAAAATGTCTGAGCCCCACACTCAACCCCTCGACTTGGGAATCGACACTGAGTCTGCCTCCTGTCCTCGGTGCCGGCCGGCTCACGGCGGGTTCCTGTTCCTCTCTCCCTCCAACAGTGGATGCTGCCCTGCCCAGGGGGTAGGTCACACCCCACCCCTACCACACTGGAGCTGGGTAGAAATGGGAGTTGCAGGAGATGAAGCCAGATCTGCACGCCCTTTGGCCGGGGTAACCAGGCTGTGCTGGAGCAGCCACCTCGCAAGACCAACCCCCTGATATCCTGCCTCTCTTGCCGGCTTCCTTCCCTTCACCTGCACTATCACTGAACAGCCTGCCTGAGTCACCTTATGTGACTCAAGATACGCACATGTAAGGAGCCAAGTAGTCAGTTTATTTTATAAGCACACGCTGAAAAATTTTCCCCAGCCCAGATGGACTGATTTGCTTCCTTTGACCAGACTGTGGAAACTTGGAAAGCTATCCAATATCCCCTTTTGCCTTGGCAGCCAGGAAACTCAAAACTCCACTTAATGTTCAGTGGCAATAACATTCTAAGTGCAATGAGCTTGCAGGCTTTGCTTGTAAGCTCTGTTTCCACCTCTCACGTTGACTTTCCTATCCATGCACATGTCATACGCTACCACGGCAGCTTCAAAGCCCTCTTGGCCAGAAAGAGTATAAGCAAATAATCAGGTAACCAGCGAGCCAAAGAGAGCAGCAATAATGATCGGGTACTTTCCAAGCTTGCCAAGGACAATGACCCAAACTGGTCTGGGCCTCAATTGGCAGCCACTCACCAGGCGGACGTGCTCTGGAAGGTCACCAGCGGTGTGCTGTGGGTGTCTCCCTGCAGCGTGTGCACAGCCTGGGGGGCTTGCGGCAGAGTGCCTGGGGGCGGCTGCGGCTGCGGGGCCGGCTGCCCCGGCCGAGGGCCCCGAGCAGGGTTCCCCCATCGCCGCGGGTCCTGTTTCATCCATCGTCCGTGGATCCCCCACCGTGCCAGGTAAACCTTGCAAATGTCGTAGTTCATCGCCGAGTAATACAAAAGATCCAGAACCAGCAGCATCAGCACGAAGAAGCCGTAGATCCACACTCCCAACAAGGCGGTGTAATTGCTGGGAACAGAGAGAGGTTGAGTGAGGGGAGGATAACAGCCCCGCTCGGGCCAGAGGTCATCAGCAGGGTTGATTGGGGAACAAGGCACAGCACGGGGGCTATTTTGGTGCCCACGGAGGAGGGGCGCCGGGTCCCCCTACAGGGCGGGGTCCTGGCTCCTCTCCACTGCCTGCTCTGTGCAGCTCCTTCCCTGGACCGCCCCTCCCCCCAGCATCCCTGGGCTGGCTTCCCATGGGTCCCACACTGTGGGGCACTTTGGAAGGAATTCTGAGCTGGCCTTTGGGGCTCCCGTTATGCGGTAGCTCCTACCCCCACCCCCTGCCTCCCCCAACACAGTGGTCTGCTCTCGCCTGCCCCTGTCTCCCGTGGGTGCCCCTGCTCACCCACCCCAGTCCTCTGCTTACCCTCTTCCTGCCACCTGGGATGCTGTCACGCCAGCCCTCGTTGCCTTTCCCTGCAAGCTCCTTCCATTTTTCGCCCTCCCCGTCCCTCCATCCTCACTCCCCTGGGGTCCCCTCCACTTGGCATGACCCCCAACATCATTTCTCTTATTCATTCACGCATCATGGCCCCCCCTGACGGCTGCCCCCTGCTCCCCAGGCAGAAACGACAAAAGCCATTGGAGAGTTTTTGGTTGCAAACATTCCCAGCCATGTGAAGCCCAGATCTCCCCGAGTGAAGCTGACTCTTCCCGGAAGAGCATGTTCTGCCTGCTCCCAGCACCGGGCCTTTGCATGAGCTGTGCCTTCTGCCTGGGCAGCCCTTTCCCTGCCCGACTCCCACTAGCCCCCTGCTGGGGACCGCGTCCCTGAGAAAGCCTTCCGGACACCCTGCCCCCTACACAGCTGGGTCAAGCCCCTCCTCTGGCCCACAGCCCTAGGTGCCCCTCAAGCCCAGCCCCCATCACCCAGAGCCACCTCTGTCTCCCCCTGCCCCAGCCCCAGGCTGGAGTCTGAGCCTCCCCGACCCCGTGCCCAGGGGGGCTGCGTTCTGGGCCTGCCACTGTGGCTGGGGCTGCTGCGCTCTGAACAGTGCTTGCCGGGGACTGCGGCTGTTTGAAGGCACCACTCTATTAATCTCTAAACACCGTCTCCATCTGCTCCCTGCTGCGGGCATCTGCCTGGGTGGGTGTGCGCCGCGGGCGTCGAGGAGGGGCGCTAAGTAGCGCTGAGGAGCAGAGCCAGCCTCCAGCCTGCGTGTGCGGCTGCCCCACGCCCCTGGCCCTGGCTGAGCCTGTCAGGGTAGAGCAGCAGGTCCCCCAGGACCCTGTGTGAAGCCTGGGGCAGGAGCCAGCCTGGAGCCAGGAGACCTGGTTCCGGGTCCTCCTTTGCCTGGCTTGCTGCGTGGCCCCAGAGCACCTCTGCCCATCTCCGGGCCTGGAGGTGACCATGGGGCCTTTCCCAGTCTCCGTCTCCAGGCTCTGGTCCTTCCCAGGCTGGGTTCAGCCCTGGCTCCAGCCGTGGCCTCTGCAGTAGGACGGGGCTGCTCTCCTCAGACTCCTCCGGGCCCCTCCAGGGCTGCGCCAGGGCTGGGGAGGCTCACATCCGCTCTCTATCTGGAATGCCCTCCCTCACCTCGCTTGGCCAAGTTCTTGGCCTAAAGACTTGGCTCGGGCCCCTGGGGGCCCTGGGCAGGGGTGGGTGGAGGGTGAGGGTGGGGAGGCCTCTATGTCCTGAGCACTTAGCATGGGGCAGCCATGGGGCAAGTGCTTCGGGCCAGTAGCTGCTTGAGGAATAGCAACCTGACAACTCTGCATCACTGTGTTCCTTGCTGCCTCCTGGGACTCCACCTCCCAGCCACCACCTCCACGAAGCCTGCCACAGTCTGATGGGCCTGCTCACGCTAAGGTGTGAGTGGCTGACAGCCAGGCCCTGGGCTGCCTTTTTAAAAGGATTGACTAGCTTCGCCTGAGAGCACGTGGATGTAGAATTCCTTCTGGGGAAAAGAGGCCTGTGGCCTCACCCAGCATGCTCAGACACGCGTGCCAGGTGGGTGTCCCTGCAGACAGAGGGGTAGGCCGAGCTCCGGCTTCGACTGGCATCCTCCCTCCTGCAGCCCCCACAGAGCTGCTCCAAGCCAGGCTCTTTCTCAGTGGTTCCCACGGCAGCAGCCTTGGGCCAAGGGAGGGGCAGCTGCGTGCAGATGCTGTCCGGCAGAAGGGAGTCTGGACGCCAGCTGGGCGTGGTGGCTGGGTCACAGGCTGGGCCTGGAACCACTGGGACCCAGAAATCACAGTACCGGAGGCAGCAGTGGACACGTGGCCCCCTCACCTTGCTTTACACCATAGCCCACTTAATGCTCACAGCAACCACGGAAGGAAACAGTATTATCACAACCATCCCCGTTTTACAGACGGGAAACTGAGGCTCAGAGGAATTAAGGCACTTGTCTAAGATCTCACGGCCATTAAGTGGCAAGACCAGGATTTGAACTCGGCAGTCAATGTCCAGAGTGTGAGTTCCCAACCACTACACCTCGCTGCCTTGGCCAGGGGCCACCCGGGTTCTCGGGGTGGACGGGCTGCCCCCAGCCTCCTGATGCCCTCCTGCCTGGCAGCTCTGTCCACGCTGCTCCTCTGCCCGGAACTCACTCCCTACTTCCCGTGTGCCCAGCTGGCCCTGCTGTCACGTCTTAGCCTAGTTACCACCACCTCCAGGAAGCCTTCCTCAGTGCCCTGTGTCAGCTGAACCCCTCCCTTGGGCTCCCACAGCCACTAGGTTTCCCCCAGAACACACTGCCGCCTTTGTCGTTTTGAAGGACTGCCTCCCCTCGAGGGCAGGGCTGGGGTCCAAGTCGTCTCTGTGTGCCCAGCGCTGAGCACCGGCTGCCAAGGATGTGACTTAAGCCAACACAGACGGTGCAAATGACGAGCGTGACGATGGCAGCTCTGGTCCCACTAACTTCTTCGCTGGATTTTGTATTCTATAAGTGTGTTCACCAAGAGCTAAAGGAATACTAGCAATTACGCCGTGCAGTGCCCTGCATTTCTGGATCTTTGCAGCCACACCACGAAGGAGGAGCTAGGAGTCCCACCTTACACGGGAGAAAGTGGGGCCCAGACAGGCAGGGTCACTTGCCAAAGGCCACGCAGTTGGGAAGTGGCAGTGCTGGGATATGGACTCTGACCTCAGAGTGTGCTGAGCCTTGGGACGTTCTAAGGTTGCATCTAGGACAGACGCCCAGAGAGGGACTGAAGTCCCAGATCTCCCTCCTCCGAGGAGCATCATGCCCATCAGTGTGTCACTGTCACCGCCTGCACGTGTGCTGCCGGGCTTGCCGGCCTCCGCAGCGAAAGCTCGCTGGAATAGGCACATAGCCCGACCCCACTGCCCTCCCAGCTCACCCCCGTCCTCGCTGCTAGAGAAGGGAGGGGACTTGCAGGGGGTGCCACCGCACCAGCTCCTTCCCTCAAGGGGGGCCGCCCTGCAGGCAGCAGGCTGGGAAGCCCTGGGGCATCCTCAGGGACCCCTCCTGCCTCCCGGGGCCTGTTGGCCCCACATCCGACCAGCCGGGAGGATTCAGGTTTGTTTGTTTAATTTTTGGAATTGAATTAAAAATACGTGACTTGGAAATTAACTCCGTCCAGATGCAGGGTCTTTGCTGTGTGTCTAAGTGTTTTGTAAATGGCAAAAGATAAAAAGTAGCGGCTGAGGCTGTTTTATGGGGCAAGATAAGAAGCCAGCCAAAGCCGAAGATGCAATTGCTCAGTGTATTTTGAGATATTGACTGATTCAAATGCTTTCGCTGTAACCCAAGCAGCAAACAAACCTCCTCTGACGGAGGAATCTCACTGAGCATCTTCCTGGACAACAGCGGCTGCGTCAGCGGGAAGGGCAGCTGCAGCCAGGGCTGTGGAGATAGAAGTCCCCGTCACCACCCCACGGGACGGTCGCATTTGAAGACGGTTTCTGCGGCCATCGTGTCAGAAAGAGACATCAGCTGCAGGGGCCTGGCCCGGTCAGGCCTGAGTGGGAGACGGCCGGTGGCCCCTTCTGCCAACCTCATCTAAACAACGGCAGTGCTGTGCCCACCCGCAGGGGCGGCCTGGCGGCAGCGCGACAAGCAAATGACCCTGCCTGTGACTAGTGTGGGCTCAGAAGTCAGGGCTGCGTGAGTTCAAATCCTGGCTCTGCCAAGTTCTCTCTCTGTGATCTTGGCAAACTGAGCGCCAGGCTCCTCATCCGTGAAAGGGAACGACTGTGGCATAACACGAGGCTCGATGAGATAACAGGAGGGCCTGGAAAGAGAAGGGACCCAGTGAGCGCGGCTCATGGGATGAAGGCACAGGGAGAGTGCTCGATAGGTCTAGGCCCAGAGAGGCAAAGCGCCTTGCCCAAGGTCACACAGCAGGAGCAAGGCTGTGCAGTGCAGCGGTGGCACGCAGGCTTTGGGCCAGATCGACCTAGAGAAGCAGGGTCTGTCACTCTCAAAATACTCACTGCCGCTCCCTGGAAACCTTCCAAGTGGGGTCAGTCCCCACCCCCCATAACAGGCTTGGACAAGTGACGTGCTTTGGCCAATGAACCACGACCAAAAACGCTATGGCCACTTCTGAGCAGAAGCTTAGAGCCACCCAGTGTGTTCTACCATTGCTCTTGTCCCTCCGCCAGGGGGACAGCTGCCCGGCATGGGGACTGCTTCCCTGGCCTCGTCACAGAATGTTCTGTGTGCAGAGCCTCAGTGCACAGGAGGACACGGAGCCAGAGCCAAAAGTAAGCCTCTGGCCTGGGACTTTGGGTGCTTTGTTACCCAGCATGACCGAGCCCGGGCGGCTGGTACAGCTGACCCAAACCCCGTGTGCTCCTTGTGTGCTGCGCGGCCGTGGGCAAGGTTTCACCCTCTCTGAGCCTCAGCCCTGGTGAATGGGGCTTGTGGAACTTCTTCATAGGTAGCAACTCTACGAGGGTGGAAGGAGCTAGCATGAGTCAGGCCCCTCGTGTGAGAGTAAGTCCCACAGATGCTCCTCTGCCTCCCTTCCCTGGCCTGTTGGAAAAGGCAAGCCTCTGGGGGACAGAGGTTTCACGTACAGCCAGGGCAAAAACGACAGCGTGTGCACGTCACACGCTGAGGCCCCTGAGTGCACGGTCTGTCTTCCCGAATGCCGGCCCTCGCCCCAGCCCCGCAGCCGCCTGCCTGGTGAAGGCGTGCCCACACACCGTGAAAGGCGCCTCCCCTGCCACCTCCAGAGAGATTTTCCCTGTGCCCAGAGAGAACTGACCTCTCCCCCGACACGCCCTGTCCCGCACTGAACCCTGGACAGAGGCTTCCGCTGATTGCTCAGGGACCTGGGTCTGCGTCACTGTACTGGGGTCCAGCAGGCCCTGGCATGGGCAGGCATGCAGTACACCTCTCCTCTCCGCCCCGGCCCTCGGCCCCGGCCTTGCCCTGTGCAGCCTCCCCGCTGCCCGCCCGGCTGGCAGTGGGCGCCACGCCTGGCGGTCTCGCCGTGGCGGTGGGCTTGGCGAGGCTGCTTCCTGTCACTCCGCCTGTCTTCCTGCCAGGCAGCCAGAACCAAAACAAACCATTCTGTTCCTCCAGAAAAACACAAATAAATAAGTCATCAGAAGCGCTCTCCTTTTCCCTGTCACCAGCCCTGCCTCCAGGATGACTCACCAGCGGGAGGGCGGGGGCTGGGGGACGCGCCCGGAGCTCTTGCTGCTGGCTCCAGGCAGCACTATAAGGCCCCTTCAGGGGTCATGGCCGGCCTGGTCCATCTAGACTGGCCACCAGTAGCCACTAAGCTGTCTGGGGTACTGGGCCGTCTTGCCTCCCGGCCGAGATCCGGCAGGATCCTCCGCGTCACGTGGGTCCCGGCTGTCTGGATGCGCCGGGGGTGGCAGAACGAGGGCTCCCTCGTCCCTTGGGTCTCGACTCTAGGTGTTATCACCCATGTGGCCTGGAACAGGTGACTTCAGCACCTGCGCCAGGACAGCCGCAGAGGAGGACTCTACCTGGGACCCTTCACACATGCAGGCCCCGTCCCACCCGTTCAGTGACCCAGGATGTCAGCCCCTCTCTGCCGCTGGCCCCAGCTGGACGCCGGGCCCTGCTCCAGCTCCCCGGGCTCAGGCCCTCTCCCCAAGGTCCCTGAACCTGGGCAGCTGGGCAGGGGGCTTCCACGGCCCCCGATCTGAGCCCTGGATCTCCCCTCAGCAGGGTCCGAGTCTTGCCCGGGCCACCCTCACGGCTTCTGCAGATGTCCTAAGTCCGCTCGGGCCTCACCCAGGCACCATCTGTGCAGCACAAAGCCGCTGCAAGCCCTCCAGAGCCCCTCAGTGACCTCAGGAGAAAGTCCACGCACCTCCCCCTACCCCCAGTTGTCTGTCCCCTGGTCCCCTTGTATGTCCCACTTGGCCGCAGTAAGCTCTGCCCAGAAGTGCTGTTTCCTCTGGGCCATGGGCTCCCAGCTTCCTGCACACTGAGGACTGGGCACCAGCCTCCCACCAGGAGGCTCAGGAGCGCTTGTCACAGGAAGGGCCCCGGGCGGGGGGCAGGGCCCAGAGCCGAGTCCTCCCTGGTGGGCACTGCCGCGGACCCCGTCTGTGGAAAGGGAGGTGGCGAGAAGATCGCTGGAGAACAGCGGGGAGGGAACCTCCCTGGGGCAGCGCACGCTCGGCTGCGTCAGGAGGCCCTGCTGGCCGTGCCCGGGGTGTCGGGAGGACGTGCTCCTGGCATCTCCTGGGGCAGAGCCGGGGACACTGCTGAACATCCGCAATGACAGGATGGCCCCACAACAGTGAGTGACCCAGTCCCGAGGGCCAGTGGTCTGGGGCGGCCATCCCTGCCCGGGGCCTCCTCTGCTAGGATTCGCCTCTGTGCGTGGAAGCGCCAGAGTTACGACGGCGACTTCCAGGCCACGAGGGCGGCTCTCGGCCCCCTCTGACCAGCTGCCTTCATCAGGCAAGTCACTGGCTGCTCTGTGCCTCATCTTCCTCACGTGCAAGGTGGGCCAGGGACGGGCTGCCAGGTGACCTTAGTGGCACAAGGGGGAGCACAGAGCCCCCCTGCAGTGGCTGCCACACACGTGCTTCTTTTTTTTTTTTTTTTTTTTTGAGACAGAGTCTCACTGTGTTGCCCGGGCTAGAGTGCCATGGCATCAGCCCAGCTCACAGCAACCTCAGACTCCTGGGCTCAAGCGATCCTCCTGCCTCAGCCTCCCGAGGAGCTGGGACTACAGGCATGCGCCACCATGCCCGGCTAATTTTTTCTATATATTTTTAGTTGTCCGATTAATTTCTTTCTAATTTTAGTAGAGACGGGGTCTCACTCTTGCTCAGGCTGGTCTCGAACTCCTGAGCTCAAACAATCCGCCCGCCTCGGCCTCCCAGAGTGCTAGGATTATAGGCGTGAGCCACCGCGCCCGGCCTACACACGTGCTTCTTGAGGACAAAGAATAAAATGTAAGTTAAAATTCTGATCTTCAACCTTCCTGTTCCCCCAGTGAAAGGCCTTTATTTTGGGGCCCAAGGATTCGTCGGCAGCCACCAGGACCCCCTGCGCTGACACAGTGGAGCGTTCCGTGTGAAATCCTGTGCAAATGTGCAGATTATAGAAACCTGTGGGCTCCGACGCGAGGATCCCAGACACCAGTTGCCAGACCTTGCAGAAGTCTGCGGTGCTGCCAAGCCTCTGGCTGGCTGTCAGCTGGCACCGCAGCACGCCAGGGTCCCAACCCCGTCCTGGCACCGCCCTCCTCCCTCAGGGAATCAGCTCTTGGTCTTATAAAAGGCTTGGGTCAAACTGCAGGCCCGCCTGCAGCCCTAATGTGACGGACAGGGCTTGCTGAACCACTTCACACGCAGAATTATTCTGAGGCTGAGCAGATGGCAGGATATTCGGGGGAAGCACCCGTGCATTTGAGGAAGGAGGGCTGGGAGCTGGCCTGGGGGGAGGTGGGGAGACTGGGTGACAGTCGAGGAGTTTGCATCTCCTGCCCAACCCAAGGGAAGACGTGACGTCCCCCCGGGTGAGTGCGGCATGGGGCAGAGCCCCCGAGCCCCAGCATCAGCCAGGTTGAGCCTCAGACCCCTGCCCACCGCCTCCTGCTGCCGCCGCTGACCCCCGCAACGGTCACTCGACAAACGTCCCTTCCAGGCAGATTTGTCCTTATGGTGAAAAAATACATCCGCCCCAAGAGTCAGCCTCTAGCTTATCGGGAAAATATCTGAAGCATCCCCCATGAAGTCATGGAGAAGGTGAGAAGCCCGACAATTCTAACGACCGTCTGAGAGGTACCAGCCAGCGCCACGGGACCAGAAAACAAAACGAGGCACAAAGATCGGGAAGTAGAAGATAAAATTATCATTGTTTACAAACGGAATAACTGGAAGCCTAAGAGAATCAACTGAAAAAGTATTGCGAAGATAAGAAACTTCAGTGAGGTGGCTGAGGACAAAATTCATATATCAAAGTCGTTAGCTTTTATCATCTTAACAACAGTCAGAGGACATAGTGGAAGAAAAGACCTTATTTATAATAGCAACGTGAAAAGAAATCACTGGAAATAAATGCCAAAAATATGTATAATATCTATATGAAAAAAACTAAAATGCTATGAAAGGAAATTTGAACACGTGGAGAGACCTTTGCATGGGAATAGTCAACACCATGAAGAGTCAACCCCTGGATTCATCTATGAATTCAATATGGTCAGAGTAAAAATACTGACTGGATTTTTGGGGGGAGGTAGGGGAACTACACAAGCTAATTATAAAGTTCACATGACAAAAGAGCCCGGGGGGAATAGAGCAAGACATTAAAATACATTAAAAGTCACAGCAGTGAACACAGCGAGGTACTGACATGTAGACAAACAGGTCAATGAAAGCCACGAATGTGTCACCATCTGCCGTGACACTCAAATTCAGCACGCGATGGTACGTGATGTCTGCGTTTCACATCGGCAGAGAAAAGACCAATTTAATGAACGGTGGTGGACAACTGGCTACCTACTTGGTAAAAATAATAAAAAATAGGTTCGATTCCTACCTTGAAGCTCACATCACAATAAACTCCTGATAGATCAGAGATTTGAAGATAAAAAATTAAAACATAAAAGAAGTAGAAGAAAATACGGGGGAAGTTTTTAGTGGCCTTGGAATAGAAAAAGCCTTTCTCAGGAAGACATAAAACCGGAAACCGCAAAAGAAAAAAAAATGGATAAAATATGATTACATAATAATTAAAATTAAGCATGAGGAAAAAGCATCATAAAGTCAAAGACACGCTGAGAAAATACTTGCAACGCATCTTATTTCCTTCTTGTATAAAGAATTCCTGTAAATAAATAAGGACCAAAAATTCAATGGGAAAACGGCAAAAGGTATAAGCAGCTGGCTCACGGCAAAGGAGATACGAACGGCTCCCAAGCATGTGAGAAGACGTTCAGCTTCGCTCATGATACACGGACCGTGTGCTGCTTCCATCCTCCGTGCCTTAGCATGTTCCTATTGCTTTGCTCCCGGAAAGCTCCTTCTCTTTCTCCACACCTGCAGTCCCCTCCACCAGGGGACTTGCTCTCAATGTCTCTTAATCACCTTAAGCAAAAGGACTGCGTAGGATTAATCTCTGGGTCAATAGCGTCAACCGGCATTTGTTGAATGAACAATAGATGGATGAAGGAACATGGGCCCAGTGGATTCCACGCCCAGGTGCCTTCTATGCCTGGAAGCCTTCCACACACCTAACCTCACTTAACTTCAGCAGCGGCTCTGAAAGGTGGGTATCATGTGCCCATTTCTCAGATGAGAAGACTAAAGCTCAGAGGTCAGCTCAGGCCAGAAACCCAGACTTTCCCAGACTCCTTCCGGGTCCACCCACACATATAGTGGTTGCCCAACAGCTTCCCCACGGGACGGGATTTTTGGGAGGCCTCTTGCCCTGAGTGGGGCCCACGGCGTGGTACTCACTTGTGCACGTAGCCCTCGGAGCTGGCGGTGAGGTTCGCCTGCATCACCGCCTGGAACTCCGTCTCGTTGCAGCAGTATTTGAAGACCGTGTTGTTATGGTGACAACAGAGGATGAAGGTTTTGTTGTCCGAGAGCCGAGGGCAGTGGAAGCCAAAGTGGTAGCGGCCTTTGTGGTCCGTGTACGGCTCACAGACCCGGAAATGTGCGGACGAGACTGGAAAACAGAGTCACCAGGCTCGGTGGGATCCCTCGGCAGCCCACGGGTGCTGTGGGGTGGGGACTGGGCAGCCTGTTCTGGGGTCCGGCTTGCCTCTTCCCTCCCCGGGAAGGCTTTGAGACCCACTGCGAACATCACCTCCCCAGGAAGCCTCCTCTGGGCTCCTGTCGCCCCTGGGCTCCCAGCCCTGGTTAAACTCTGTGTCCCCCCGACTGGGGGCTCCTTGAGGGCAGGGCTGCGTCTCAAGCCTCACACAGATCCCCTCCCACAGCCCAGTATGCAGCAGGCACTTAATTAGGAAACCAACCTTAATGGAGCACACCTACTATGTGTTTCATAGGCCATCTTATTTAATCCACGTGGCTGTCCTAGCAGGCAGGTTTGGGATCCCACTTCACAGATGGAGCAACTGAGGCTCAGAGGCCTAAGGTGACTTGCCTAAGGGGTGTGGGGCAGGAACGAACCCAGGCCTGCCTGATTCAAAGTCCAGGGCCCCCTCCACTCCTCCATCACTGGCTCTAGTAACCTCTGTTCCTGGGGGGGCTGGCAGGTGGTGGCCGGCATGAGTGCAAAGACCCCCTTGGATCCCTCTTGGGTCAAAAGCAGCAGCCCCTTGGTTCCTCGGTTTCTACTAAACTGGTGTCCTGGACCCCAAGGTGCCCAAGGGCCTGCCACGATCACCCCTGCCCCACGGTGGTGGAGCTGCCCTGGCCTGGGACCCTGCTCACAGAGGAGGCTCCTATTCAGTCACCGACGCTGCTGCCAGCCCGGGGCGGTATGTGAGTCGTGCCGACGGTGATGAACGGAGCGAAAGCCCGAACAAACACAACAATGGAAAAAACCTGGAGCCCGCTGTCTCAGGCTTAATTAGTATCTTCATAAAAGGGATCGCTGTATCTAATTTGTAGCGCTGAAAAGGAGCTTCGTTGGCTGAGTACATTTCTCCAACCACAAAGGCGCTGGTTTTGCAGCAGCTCCTCCAGCTAGTTGAAAGCTGTGTCTGCGGAGAGGTTATTAGACTGCAGCCCACACAGCCGCCCCGAGCTGCGGAGGGAAGTCCCAGCTGGGCTGGGCGGGCGGGTGGGCGGGCAGTGCTCACGCGCCAGGGTGCCGAAGCTGCCTGGGTGGCCTGCGTGCAGTTCTGCGCCCCTTCCCAAAGGACAGCACCTTCTTCCTTGGGGACGGGCACGACCACTGCCGGAGAAAGATCCCAGCTTTCTGGGAGTCTGAGAGCTCTCAGGCCTCCTTCTCATCCTCAACCTTGGGAAACAGGAGACTCCCTCCCAGGGAGGCAGAGGTTAAGTGCCCGGCTAGACAGTCATCTCGCTCCCTCTCGCTCGCGTTGTGCAGAGAAAACTGAGCTCCCTCCAAGCAGAGGTTCTCAGAGCTGCTCGCTGACCTGTCGCGGCAGCATCCCTTGGGGGCTTGTCAGAAAGGCAGGTTCTCAGGCCCCTCAGCAGACCGTGCAAATCCAAAGCTCTGGGGCAGGCCCTGCGATCTGTCCTCGCAAGCCCTCCAGGGCTTCGGGGCCACAGGCCCAGAGGGAAGGTGTGCTGGGGGCAGGAGGTGAGAGCCAGGCAGGCAGTTCCGGCCGCCATCCGGGCCGCTGCCTGGGTCTGCTCTCACTCGGCTCGTGGGCAGCTGGGGAGAGCCCAGGCGCACCTGTGCTGCCCGTCAGAAAGTCCAGCTCAGGCCTGGGACCAGCCTGAGAGGCCACCCCAGGAGGCAGGGAGGGGACAGAGTGGGGAGGCAGCCCGGAGGAGGTGGCCTTTGAGCTGGGCCTCCAGGTCTTGGGAGGGGCCGATGTGCAGAGATGGGGGTGAGGGAGGAGAAGCCCTGAGGGACGGGGTGTGGAAGGGCCTCGCCCAGCACCCACCGCCCCTCTCACTGGCTTTGGTCATTTGGCAACAACACGGAGGTCCCTGTAACCAGCAAAGCGCAGGCCCTGCTTGGAACAGGAGGGTGTGAGCAAACTCGGGCAGGCAAAGGGTGGCACCTTCGGCTTCCACTCTCAGTGCAGCGCGGCTCTCAGGCTGAGGGACACCCGGTAGGGGGCCAGTGGGTTCTGAGTCACCAGGAAACCAGCCCAGGCAGAGAGGGGACACCAAGGGGAAGGCCACGCTCTCAGGTCCCTTAGCCTTGGATCACGAGCACTCCTCTGCGTGCAGAGCTCAGCGAGACTCCTGGTCCTGGTGGCCCTCCCTCAGTGGCTGGCTCCTGCCCTGCCTGTGTGACCTCGAGCAGGTGGCCTTCCTTCTCTACGCCTCAGGGTCCTCATTTGAAAATGCCCGCGGGCAGCGAGGACCAGATGGTCCAATGCATGGGAAGCACCTGGAGTAGGGGGATGCGGCTAGGTGAACGGTAGCCCCCAGACCCCGGGATGGGCTTCGCTTTGGCTCTGCTCTCCTGGGAGTCCTGTCCGGCACCCCCCGGCACCCTCATGGCCTCTCTCTGGACTACACTCCCTGCAAAGGGTCAAGGGCTAAAAACCACCACGCTGATGCCCACGGCTCTGCTAGAGCTTGTGGGCATGAGGCAGTACAGAGACAGACAGAGACAGAGGGAGAAAGAGAGAGACAGAGACAGAGGGAGACAGAGAGACTGATGGAGACAGAGAGACAGAGACAGGGAAACAGAGACAGAGACAGAGAGACAGATGGAGACAGAGAGACAGAGACAGAGGGAGACAGAGACAGAGAGACAGATGGAGACAGAGAGACAGAGACAGAGGGAGACAGAGACAGAGAGACAGATGGAGACAGAGAGACAGAGACAGAGGGAGACAGAGACAGAGGGAGACAGAGACAGAGAGACAGATGGAGACAGAGAGACAGAGACAGAGGGAGACAGAGACAGAGAGACAGATGGAGACAGACAGAGAGACAGAGACAGAGACAGAGACACAGAGAGACAGAGACAGAGAGACAGAGCAGGAGTGGCAGAGAGGGCACCTTGCCCAGACCAGGTGCTGGCTGGCCGTGCTGGGCTAGCCTTGCTTTGGGGTGCTGGGGGCCAGTTAGCTCTAGTTGGGAGGAATGAAGGACTTGGCTTACGCCTGTCTTTGTAACCAGGAGAGCTTGAGCCCACCTGTGACCCCAGCTGGGATCAGGGGGACAGCCTGGGAGGCTGTTTGGGTGCCGGCAGGTCGGGCCCCAGCACGGTCCTGCTGCCTGGGCTAGATTCCGCTAGCTGTGTTAACTCAGACAAGTCAGCTCCCGCTCCGAGCCTCAGTTTCCTCATCTGTAAACTGGGATGACTATGCACTGCCTAACTTCCACTTGCAGGGCTTCTCCCAGGGCCCCCAGCAGCGCCTAAGCTCCCTGGCACGCCCACAGGGCCGCGGCGCACAGTGGGTCCTCACTGCTCAGCAGCGAACATTAGCTCATCGCCAGGGGACACCAGTGGGGCGGGGGACTCAAGGCAGGCCCCTGTTGGCCCCCAGAACCCCAGATGGGCCAGCACCCTCCCAGGGAGGGCCCACCTGCCCCCACCCCAGCCGCCCCCTCCCGCTGAACATCCACGGAGGTTTTACCTGCAGAAAACAGCAACGAGAAGAGGACGGTGAGCACGTTCAGGGATGGCTGGCCACAACTGGTCATCGTTTGGCTGGCATTGACCCGTCAGAGCTGCCTGTTTAACGAGATCCAGGAGAGGCTGGGTGTGGGCTGTCTTGCCTGACACCGGCTTTGCTGCCCACAGCGGGGGCCGGGCGGGCGGCGGCAGGGGAGCGAGTTTGCGGGAGCAGGGGCCAGGTGTGGATGATGGAGACGCCGCCATCCAATTTCCTTTCTGGAATGAATGACTTTCCCCCACCAGCCAACTGTCACTTCCTTTTCTTTTCACGGCAAAATGGGACTTAATCAAAGGAGGATGATGGCTCAGGTGGTGGAAATGACCGGTGGGCGGACGCCTGGAGCCGTGGCAGTGAGGATGCCCGGGCGAGCTCGGCCACCTCGGGGCTCGCAGGGCCCGGGTCTCCCCACCGTGCTGCTGACGGTGACTTCCATCAACCCCCCGACAGGAATGCACCGAACTGGGCACCTTTCCAGGCGTGAGGGACACAGCGATGAACGAGATAGAAACCGTTCTGCCCCCTGCTTGCCGCGTTCCAGTGAGGACGGCTGCCGGCACGTAAACAAATGAATATTTAAAACGCTATGAGGCTTCTGAGCACAAACCCTGCAGACCCGGAAGCAGAGACCCGCACGGATGTTTGTGACCCGTATTCACAGCAGCCAAAGCGGGACGCGACCCGAGTGCCGTGGAGGCGAGACTGGATAAACAAAACGCGGCGTGGACGCACACGGAATATTAGTCTGCCTTAAAAAGGAAGGAAATTCTGACACCTGCCGCAACACGGCGAGACCTGGGATGACCAGGAACAGGGTGGCCCTAAGCCACTGTGACCGGCGACGCTCAGCGAGCCGAGACGGGAAGACAGAAACTGCGGGACTCCACTCTCGGGAGGCGGAGGAGCAAACTCACAGGAGCAGCAGGCAGAACGGCGGGCCGGCGCTGCGAGGAGGGAGCCCGGGGAGCTCATGCTCAACAGCGACAGAGGGGCGGTGTGGGGAGACGAAACGTCCTGGGGATGGACGGTGGCGACGGAGGGGATTGAGGGCTGCACAACAGCGTGAACGCGCTTAGTGCCACCGAACTGCGCGCCAGCAATGGTCGCAGGGGAAGCTCCACGTCACGTTGACGGCACCATGGTTTACGTTCTTTTAAAAACACGCTATGAGGGAGAACGAAGCAAGGTGCGCAGGGCGCGGAGAAGGGTGATGTGGGGCTGCTTCGGACAGGGCCTCCCTGGGAAGGTGACATCGAGCAGGGCTTGGGCCAGGCAGGAGAGCGTCTGTGGCTCTTCGGAGGGAGCGCGTGACCGAGGGGAAGCAAGTGCTGCTCGAGGCGGGTCACAGGGGCGGGGAAACGGGGGCGTGGGGAGGTGGCCCAGTGTCCTCCGTGCAAGCAGGACGGTCCTCCCGCGAATTGTGTCCCCCCCCATTCGTATGTTGAAGTCCCAACTCCCAGGACCTCAGAACGTGGCCTAGTTTGGAAAGAGAGTCACTGCAGAGGTCATTAGTTAAGGTGAGTTTGTGCTGGAACAGGGTGGCCCTAAGCCGCTGTGACCGGCGAACTTATGAAAAGGGGAAATCTGCACACACGCACAGGGAGAACGCCAGCTGACCGTGGAGGCAGAGGCGGGGCGATGTGCACAAGCCAACGAACACCAAAGGTCGCCCACAGACCACCAGAACCCGGGAGAGGCCTGGAGCAGATCCGCCCTCGCAGCCTCAGAAGGAACCAACCCCGCCGACACCCTGATCTCAGACTCCGGCTTCCACAACGTGAGACTGTAAACATCTGTCGTTCACGGCGATGGTGTGTGGTTCCTTGTGTGGCGGCCGGAGCAGCTGGGGACAGCCCCAGGGAAGGACGGGTTGGGGACCGCAGGTCGGATGCTCACCTGCGCTCCTGGGGGCAGGATCTGATGTGAGGATGGCGGGGCCTGGAGAGCCGGCGCCTGCCTGGAGGTTGGGGGCAGACCCTGGGGCCCTCCCAGCCTGGCTGAGCGGCCCCTCCCCTGCCATGTCCGCACGGGGAGAGGGGGGACAGTTGGAGAATCGCACACATGCGGCAGAGATCTGCTGCCAGACAACATGGTTCTGAGAGAGGACACAGGAGGACAACACGCGGCCCGAAGAAGTGAGCCTCTCTGACTGCCAGACGTCCTGGGCACCTGCTCTGGAGCCCGGGAGCCAGCCTGGTCACAGAGAGCAGAGAGGACACCGGCTCAGGCCCCAGGCAGCTCTGAGTCCTGCTTAGCGGGGGCAGAGCCAGGGCTGCAGGGCAGGCAGAAGAGGAGGCCACCCGGCAGCCCGGAGGCTGGAAACTTCAGAGTGAGGAGACGGCAAGACTCAAGGCCAGGTCCATGGTGCTCACAGCCTGGCCCCGGCCCTGCCTTCAGGGCTTCAGTTTCCCCTGTAGCGTGGGCATCATGGCGGTACTAAGGTGCCGAGTGGTGTCCTTGTGAGGTTTGGTTTGTCAGAATAAGAAAACGGGCAGCATGATTGTAAAATGCCACTGAAAGGTGGGGCCTTAACATCACGCTCACTCACGGCGGGCGGTGCAGCCTCAGCACGCCGGGGAAGGGCCCCCTGCCTCACCCGCGGGCCTCTCCGCTCCCACTGCCGCCCTGCTCGCCCCCCGTGGCTGTGAGCTGCTTAATTGCTCTGAGCCGGCGCCTCCTCCTGGCCTCCCTCCTCCTGGCCTCCTGGGAGGATGAACCGAGATTAAAGCATTTGAGAGCTTAGGAGAGGATTTCACCGGGGGAAACCAAGAATCAGTCCCGGAAAATGCACTGCAGGAGGCGGAGAGTGATGGGTCCTCTGAGACGACTCCCCCGCGGCCCCATTCTACAGACGGGGAAGCCGAGGCCCAGTGAGAACTGAGACAGGTCTCCAGACTCCGGGTCCTGCCGGTGCCTGCAGGGTGGGGCTGCCCCACGTTTGTGGCCAAGGCTAAAGTCCCAGAGTTGGTGGGCTTGCTGGGCGAAGAAGGGGTCCTGCCCAGGCCCCTGAGGCAGCTCAGGTGCCAGAACTGAAGGGTAAATCCTCCGTGGACAGAAAACCCCACAGTGCGTCACGGAGAAGTTATGGATGTAAAAATTCCACTTCTGCAGATGGGAGATGGCGGGGCTTGGGAGCCACTAGCCGCCCCAGCCCAGGCTGCTGGGAGAGCTGCCTCGGAAACTTCCCCGGGCCTCGGGGCGGCCAGCTGCTGTGAGCCTTGTCGGGCCTCCATAGGTTCCACTGTTCTGATATTCACAAGGCCCAAGCCACCACCCCGGACCCCTCTGGGGGGTCTGAACAGGGGGACCTGGACTCAGGGACTGTGGGCTCCAGTGCACCCGCCAAGACCACCACAGGTGAGGTCTGTGGGAAGCTGCTCCAGCAGCACTGGGAACAGGTCCCGAAAGGTGTCATTCCTGCTCTTGCCAGCCCCGCCCGGCCCTGTGCAGCCACCTGGGGCCGCTGGCCCGGTCCGGACGATGCCGGGCTCAACTTGGCAACTTCACCGTGTCGTCTCAGGTGAACCCCACGTCAGCCCCACGAGGTAGATCATCAAACTCCCATCTCGGAAGGGGGGAAACCAAGACTCAGAGAGGTGAAGTGACTAGCCCAAGGTCACACAGCGACTCGGCAGCTGAGACGGGAGACAAACCCAGGCTCCAAAGCTCACTCCACCTCCTGGCACCGAAAAAGTTTCCAAGGCCTCCCCGAAAGCACGTTCACCACAGACAGATTAGATTCATCCTCCCGGGTTCTATTTCTTTGAAAACTGGTACACTGCCTGAGATGGTAGCTCATGACCAGCGATAAAACTCTAATAACTGCAAGAACGTTCCGGATGAGTGGGACTTCCCCGAACGCTCACTGGGTGACCGGGTCCAGGATCACGAGTCAGACACGCATCTCTGTGGTCCACCCTTGGGTCAGCCGGGGACTGCCGTTCCCGGATCTGAGGATTATTTTTAAACACCGAATCTGGCGAGGCTGGGGAGGGGAAGGAGGGCGTGTGAAGAGAAGCAGAGCCGGGAAGATGGATTGCGCCCCACCGGGAACAACAACAGATCTGTTTTCGTGGCCCCAGGCTCTGGCAGAGTGGGGGGCGGGGAGGCACAGCAGGCCAGGGCCAGGGTGCCAGGGCCAGGGTGCGGGGCACCGGCGGGGTGGCCCCGGCTGGATGCCTGGAGACCCCGGCAGCAAGGGCTTCCCTGCTCAGCCCAGCAGCCACGCGCACCGCCTCCTGCCTGCCCCTGCCAAGGGCAGCAGGCCTGGGCTCGGGCCACTCTACCCGGGCCAGGTCCCGGCTCCGCCTTTTGGAACCACACCCCGTGTGACCTGGACTGAGTCACCTGGACCTCAGTCTCCTCAGCCCTGGAATGGGGATAAAAATAGCTTCGAAAGCACAGGAGCATCATGGTGACTTAACGAAGCAGTGCACGGAAGCACGTGCACAGCGCTGGCGCACGTGGGCCTCCAGAGGTGTCAGCGGCGTCTCTGATTCAGCCTCTTCCGCCAACCCCGGCCTCGGCGGCCCCCAGTGCCACTGTCCCCAGTGCCCATCTCGCCGCCTACCTGCCTCCTTGGAGTTCACGGCCACGCGCACTCCCGGAGCCCCTCATGGCTTGGCCCTCTGTTCCCCTGGGCCTGTGCACGTGCTGTTCCCAGGCTGGGGACACCCTTGCCCTCTCTGCAGCCGCAGGCTTGAGGCTCGCTGGGGCGTCCGCCTCTCAGGACAGCTGCCCCCGCCCGACGCCCGCACCCTCCGCTGGGGGCTCCGGAAACTGGCTCTTCACCTGCCCGGCGTTGCCATGGGCCGTCTCGGTCCACCAGGGCCGGGCTGGCTGGGCAGGATTCGCTCCACGGCCAGCGTGGGGGGAGCACACTGGGATGCCTGCGGGTGGGTGTCTCGACTTGGGAGGGAACTTGAAAAGGGAAAACGGGCAGCCCAGGCCACTGCCCCGGGGGTCTGGCCCTCTTTAGACTTGGGCCACACCGGTCTGGACTTCCTGGCACTGAGAACAGAGAAGGAC